CGTTAAAAAACCTTGTATAACTGCTCATATCGGTTCGCACGCTATTTACAGGATTCTCCCGTCGCAGCCGGTGCAGCGCTATCAGAATGCCCATAAAACCGTGTTCCAATAAACTTCCCCGTTGCACGCGCGCACCGATACGCTAATTTCCGGATATTCGCCGATAATTGGCTTAATCGTGAGCGTGTCGAATTAATCGCACATCCCGTATTGCGGCTGTATCTACGACCGTAAATTCGCTTGAGAATTCATGAAAATTAGCGCTTCTCGGATCGATCGATTGGCAAATCGAACGCGCTGCTTGAAAGATTTTCCGCAGACATTTATTTTTAACTCGTTATTAATAATAACGTTTGTGAATGGACCATTCTAAATAACCATCATTCGTCACATGAGCATCATAATCTCAAAGGCAATAAAACTAACCATTTTTTTCTGTAAAAATTCCTTTCAGTCCAGCCAGGCCCTTATTTACACTTTAAATCATTTTTTCAAAAAGGAAAAAAAAACCATGTGTCGCAACGTATTATTATGCTTCTCTTTCAATAAAGAATTATGTATTTATAGCTATGATAGTTCTCTTTAGGTATTTCTTAAGTATCAAACATTCCAAATAGGTTATACATTTTGGTAAATAATGATTGTTCATTTCAAATAATCTTTCTAAAAGCATTACGTCCGAGAAGAAGTAAAAGTCAACTTGCATTGATTTATGGTAATCGTTAAAACGTTAAAACCCAAATAATAAACTTAAATAAATAATAATAACGAAGAAATGATATCATTACGGAAAATAAACAAATGTAATGATAATGAAATATAATCAAAAAATGAACTAGTTGAATGATAAGAAATATATTCTAAAACAAATATAAAGTCAATACCTCGCATTCTCGTATCTTTTCATTATTTTCTCATTATTCTCTCCTTTCCAAAGAACGGAGAATGAATCGCTGATATCCCGTTTGATATCCCGACGTGATTTCGCCATCACGCCACTATGATTTGCGAACCGCGCAGAACGTACATAGGTACGGCTGATCGGGGACGGTTATGGATTTCGCATAAAGTAACGTTACATCGCACATGCGAGTAAATTAGTCGCTTAATCAAACCGTTTAATCAGCGGCATGATCGCGACCGCATCTGGCCGAGCTGTTCGCGCCAATTATCTCTTGTTCCTCCGATCTCCTCATCCCTCTCCCTCCTCTCCTACGTGCGCAATCGCGTACACTGACGTAACTAGATAGGGGAAGATCTGAATACGAGATTTGGACCAGAATTTTGCAAAATTAATTAAACCTATCTTGATTCTTCGGTATCGATGATCGGGCAAATTCGAAGAGAATCTTGGAAACTTTTTTAATATACTGAAGAAAAATACTAAATTTTAAATATTTGTTTGAATTAGTCTAGTCTAGTCTTTTTTTAAGTAAATATTTATTAAATGTAAACATATATTTTGATACAAACATTATTAATTTAATTTAACTATCCTTTTTTAATTTTTTATTGAGTAAATATTTGTTTATTGCAAGCAAATGTTTACTCAGTATATCTACTATTAAAAGAAATGTATATTAAAATTTATAGTAAAATAGTAAATTTTTTCAGTGTACAAAAGAGACGTTCAAGAGATTAATTCAAAATATGCAAACGTAAAATTAATTAGATATTTCTTAAGAGTTTGCTTATATCGCCGTATCAAGCTTGCATGACGAATAATTGTTGTAAGTTAGTCGCATAACAATTCTCTCTCGGTGATAATTCTTGAAAAAAAAAGAATGTTCCAATTATGGTTCTAAAAATGTTCTAGTTTACTGAAAATCAGTCGTACAATATAGATCTAAAACAGTATATTCGGGGGGAAAAAACGATCAATAGAAGATTGATACTTTCTGTTATTATCTTAAAGATGAAAAACATGATAATCTTACAATTCGTGTAAACTTTTTCATGTTTAAATTAGAGCAATATTTGTATTATATATTTAAATTTTTGGAAAATATAATCTGACATTTAATCAATATTTAGAGTGCCTAGAGATGCATCGTAAATCCTCGCACATTAGACAATAGATATTTAGGCCTGTATTTATTGTCAAATCTTGTATTTAAGACCATCTTAAATACAGTCTTAAGATGTTTCAGTCAAAATTAATCAGAATACCGTAGCATCTTTTACGCATATTACATAATAATCTTAAAAAGAGTCGACTATGAATACCTTTAGTCATATCTTTAGTCACGCTTATAAGCGTAACTAAAAGAGAGACTTTCCACAAAAGTCCCTAAATTTTAAAATTATATTGTAGTACACATATATATATATATATATATATATATATATATATATGTACACATAAAAAAATAGTTTGTAGAAAGTTGAAATGCTATATATACACTATAAAATGATATACAATAAAATATTGTAATGTACAAAAAAGAAAAAAGAAACAATATGGGTCGTGATTTTTCTAGAAAATATAAAAACTGAAAAAAAAAAAACAACTGATAATGGAAAGACGTCGTAAATGCGTCTCAAAGGATAAAAGCTGTATTGTGCAAATTCCTTTGTCGTACACAGTAAAAGATTTGTGTATTTGTGTTGAAAATGGTCCACTCACGTTCTTGTTAATAGTTTGTGTTGAATTTTTTAATATATTCAAATGTTAATTTAACGTAATGTGATATGTTGTTATGTTATTTAAAGATTTTTTTGTGAAATTGATATTCAATGTTTTTTAGTGTCAAAATGACACAATTTATGAGTAAGTGAACAACTAACATAAAAATAATGTGTTTTAAAATGTAAATTCTAAGATAAATGAATAAAATCCGTGTTAATTTAACATATTATAAATGTTAATTTTTTGACAAAAAATATGCTTTCACGGTTTATTTACAAACTGTGTCAATGTTATCTGTCTTTGTATTTATTGTCTTTCTATTAATATTTGTGTTATCTAATACTTGTGTTATTTTTTAATATATTCATTTTGTGTAAAATTAACTCAAAAATTTGAATGGACCGTTTGGGACATGCGATTTATGTTAAATTAAACACATTTTTTCCAACTGTGTATGATAATGATGTAAATTATAAAAACTTAAAATCGAAAATTTAAAGGTTGCAAATAATAATATTTTATAACAACGTTAAAAATTTAATTTTAAAATGTTATTTCGCAAAAAGCTTCCATAAAAATCATATTTTTATTTTAATGCCAATCCTTGTCATTGTATAATTTTTTTCAGCGTGTAAAAAACTAAACTTTTTAACAAAAGGTATATAATATTATATTTCACAATTGTTACATTGCAATATTTTTGCAATGTTTTTTAAAACTTTATCGTTTACAATTTGCTACATAATTTTATCATCATGAGATTACATATAGTCAACAACAGTGCAGTTTTCTGAAAAAATATCGATATAAAAAAATTAAAATTTTATCTTAAAATTTATACATTACAATTTTAATGCATCTAAAATCTAGGAGGCTTTAATTCATAGAAAGTTTTTCTTTATAAGCCCGGATCTATAATAGATTTTTAAGCCTTAAGCTATAAGAAATTAATGAATCATAGTCAATTATTCTCCTCGTATTTTATTCTAATTAGTCAATTTTTTACGGCTTAAAGCTTGAAACACCTATTGTAGATCTAGATTAAAAGTGTGACTGAAGTATTCGATTATTTTTAAGATGATCTTAATGTCTTAAAATGTTAATACGGCTTTCTGATTTCTTGATTCATTACATCCTAAGACGGTCTTAAATGTAAGATCTGATAATGAATACAGGCCTTAATACATAATAACTATTGTCTAATGTACGTTGTCGAAGATTTGCGATGCAGTCTATATCTTAAGCACTCCAGATGTTTGAACAGATTATGTTTTCCAAAAATTCAAATATATCCCATTATTGCAGAAAAATGATGATAAACATTACCGATAAAAACAATAACATACACATATTTTTTTTTAATTTTTTATAATTTTATAAGTATTGCTGTTTCTTATCAAAATGTATTATTTATCAATTTTATAGATATTTAATTGTTTGACCATGTCTGTGTTATAACAGTAAATTAGAAATTTGAACAAGTGGAGTTACAAATTATGCATTAATTTAATAATATTAAATTACATTAATAGCTTTAGCATTACTTTTTGAGGTCAAATAAAATCGTGGCGTAGTTTACACAAAACAAAAAAGCAAAATGTATAATTCATAAAAATTATTATTAGGTACGACATTTTTTCTGATGACTAAAAATATTAACTTTATTTATTTGTGTTAACACGAAAAATTCAATTTCATGCATAACTTGATATGATCTTAAATTTTTAATTAACTCATACATATTTCTTTCGTTAATATCGTAAACGAATTTACCAATAAATTTCTTTCGCAGAAAATATATTGTTATTCTCGCAAATCTTTTTTTTAAAACATGTTGCATTTACTACATCGTTTACAGTCAAAATCTACGTAAAGTCAAACGTTAACAATTGCACCGCATTCTTTATACGGAAATTCGTTGAGGAAAAATTTTCAAAAGAACTTCTACTTGCGAAACTTCTATTTGACCAAGGCTGCAAGAAAAGTAAATCCGATCCTGCCGTCTCCCACCATCAGGATTGCTTCACTATACGGCTATGATGTTATGCAACATCGTGCTACCGACTCCACCTCTCTGTTGGAGGGGACGTTATAAGGGCGGCATTTTCCCCACTCTGTGTGCGAATGCTGGAGGTGGCTCATCTCCGTAAATGCTATATATAGAACTACTTTTACTCTACGCTCGTAGTTCGAACGCATCACATGGTTTCGTGGTGCTACACGGACCTCGCACTAAATAGAGAAAGATTTGTGCATGTTGTGATCAGTAACATACCTTTTTTTCTTTTTTTTTTCTTTATATACATTCGAATATACATTTCTCTGAGAGAAATCGTGAAGTGTGATTATAAGTTGTAGTTGTGGTGCATCACGGAATTCCAGATAAGAGAAGATAGAGAGAAACAACGTGTAAGTTACTACCTTTGATCCTCATAGAATTTACGCTAACGAGAGAGATTGAGAGTCGTTTATGTCTTACACAATTGAGATTTTTTTTAAATCTTATAATTCCACTTTTGTTTGATATTTCCTCGCGTTTAAAGCGAATGATTTCTAATGTTTACATTTTGCAAGTGACTTGTTGTCGTGAAACATGAACTTGAAATAATAAGTATTATAGATTGAGTATTATAATACTCATATATTGACAATATCGCATCTTTTCTGTTCATTATATACAATATAATTGTCAATCTTTTAAAACAGTGATGCATAATTTGCGGTCTTCACTTGTGAATTTTTTGTTTAAATTTGTCAGCTCGTAACCGAAAATATAAAATCATATTTTTTATTTTATGCAAACGAAATAAATATTATTATATGTACAAAAGATTTTACCTATTTTAAAAAATGGCTTTCTGAAAATTGCCCTTAAAAAGATTACTCATTACTGTTTTAAAAGATATAATTTCGCGATTTCTTGTCATATCTGCTACAATTTTCAACAATTTAATCCGTTTAAATGCGTCACTAATTTATTTTACGAAAGATGAGAAAATTTGCTATAGGCGTGTGTTGTATCATTTTGGCGCGAGATTCGTGCAATTTGGAATTCGGTAAATTTAGGAAATCATAAGACTTAAAAAATATTTAATCACACTTACTAGATATTTTTTCCCGGAAATATATAGATATAGATAATCGCGAAAGTATCGGAACGTCTGCTAACAAAATATTGTATCAAAATTTTCAAATTACAATATAATTCATGATGTTACAGTTTACGTATTTATATCATGTATCATGTAGCATTTATCATGCCATTTTCCGTGTCAATAATATTTTCAAGAGCTTTATATTCATTGGGCTGTTAAACGAAAATTTTTGAAATTGGAAACTGATCAATCAGAATTGCGTTCAAGTATGCTCGTTGCATTTAAATACGTTTTGGAAGGAGCCTGCAATTACGCGTCCTCTTCACTTCAAAAAACAGTCAGATTACGATAGTTGATTAATAAGGCTTTTTTAAAAAAATACATTATTGTAGTTAAAAACGTTCATCTTGTATAGTTTGCGTTCCGATATTTATTATCAATGCTCAAAATATATAAGATATGTTATGTGCAACTTGTACGAAGTTAGTTCTTTATAAGTTTTGTATTTTTTTTGTATTTAATTTAATTATGTTGTATTACGCTTTTATGCTATAAAGCGTTTTTAGAACTAGTAATATATCATTCCCGTAATCGATGCATTTAAATGCATTAAAAAAAAAGCCTTATAACTATTATATTATTAAAACGAGTATCGCATTAATATCCAACAAAGTATAGATATTTGAGAGTAATAAGTTTACTTCTTGACAAAACTACATAAAAATAATTATGCTCATTCGGGCTTACAATTAATGTTGAACGTGATCGCATAAAGCTCGTAAAATATTGATTGCTAATTAACATACGTACAATAAAACGTTGGCAATAAAATTTCTCTATTAATTATCTCTATTAATAAACTCGTGATTACGCCATTCACTAAAATCTGAAATTACAATTTTTAATTCTTGTGCCAGCTTTGAATTATTTTCAAAGTTTTGGAGAAGAAGTTTTAAATTTTTAATTCTTCATATTATAAATCTTGTATTTATGTATTTTCTTTTTTTCGAAATTTGTGCTTTGACATACAATATCCTGATCACTTTACTTGAAATGTTCGATCTGATATATTTCGCTATCAAGCAATATTAAAAGTTACTTGTAGACGTTTAAATACTTTCGTGATTACATATATAATAATATGACTGGTTAATAAATGCATGTGTTTCAATTGTTGTAAAGTAACAAGATGAGGAATCATTATGACGAAGAGAACAGCCCGGACAATAATCCGGAGGAGGACAACATTGTCGTCGACCAGGTGAACACATCGCGCGGTTCGCACTCTGACAATGGTAAGTTCTATGAATGTCTAAGAGTCTCATTTAAAAAATATTTCGCAAGTTCATTATTATAAGATTATATAAGGCAGGCCTAATTTTTGAGCTCTCGGACGCAAAATTATTGATGCAAAAAAATTCAAGATGGGTAAGATTCGCATCTTAGTGATGCTTATCAATACTTTATAGTTTCTAAAATCTTACATTGAATTTTTTTGCCTCGATGAGTTTGCGTTTTAGCTCCGGAGCTCAAATTGTACAGGCTTGATACAGGGCATTGTTGACGCGTGTAACACCATTATCATTAATGCTTAATCGCATTTTTAATTGGACTGACCGCTCAAGTTAATTGTTGTGTATCGATAATAATAGACATATTGAATCGATTATATGAATAAAAGTTTTTTTATTTTGCCCTTTTTATTTTTTTTCTGTAATGTTGAACTTATGAGATCTTGTACGTATAAGAGAGAAGAGTAGCTATATTAATATTAAAATATTAATCAAATATTTGATAATTAATTAGCCTATTCTAACTGGGCGTACGTAAGAGAGGGGGAGAACGCTTATCGATTTTAAATTTTGGCAACGAGAAATAATTTTTAAAAAATTGATAAAAAATTATAAACACTTATTGTTGAATTTGTGACTCAGACGTTATTCGGATAAAAAAGTTACCGAAAATCCTAGTTTTAATTTAAGTATAATATTTTAATAAGTTTTATGTGAAGCTGTAACAAGTATCGGAAAACGTAATTACTTTTGATTAATTATCATCATAGTCGCGTGACAATAACTTCTTTTCATGTTTGCGGCATTAAAAGCGCGAGAATTGACGCCGAGAAATGATAGCATTTTCATTTCTTTTTATTATCGCATCGTCTCCTATCTCATTTTCGGCTATTTTATGTGATTTGCATTATTGTCGTGGCGCAGTTTCACGTTTGTTCCGCGCAACTACAAACCAAGAAAAATCCAAAAGGTTGAAAATCAAACGAAAACCAACCGGAAGTAAAACGACATTTTCTACCTTGTTAAGATTTCTACCTTCTAACAGATTTCTACCTGCTGTTAGTTCCTTTTGACCCTCGTCATTAACCTTAACTTATTGTGTCTTTATGGTGACAATCTAGAGATTGAAATGGCACAACTTTACAACATTGACTCTCTTAAAGAATGTGAGACAAGAAACATCTTTTGTTGTATCCGTGTAAACGTAAAAATTATCGCTTTTCTTCTGACTTATCCGCTGTTAATTATTGTATTTTATTTTTCCTACGTAAAATTTATGATAGCTTTGTAATTATATATTTCACCGAAACTACTTCGAAATTGCCTGGTTGACGTTAAAATATTGAGAATGAATTAGCACAGTTTTACAACATATTGACTTTCTCAAAGAATATATAAACTAGAAAATTACCTTTGTAAGTATTTTACTTTATACCTCTGTAAGTTATAACACTTGTTAACGTAAAAATTCTTGTTAGTGTCTAACAGCTTTCCTACTGTTAGTTGCGTTTGTTGCTAAGCTAACTTATTATATTTTATTCTTCTTTTCGGAAAATTTGTGGCTTTGTAATTCATACGAAACTATTATATATACTTCGAAATAACTTATTTGGGTAACGTGAAAATAAGAATTGAGTTGACAGCTTTAGCATTCCTTGTTACATCTCTATAAATAAAGTAAAAATACTTAAATCCAAGACATCGACACAGTCGGTGCGACAAAAAGAAGGATTTGCGACTTTGTACGCATTCTGCTTCTTTAAGGAGCAAGTTGTTTTAAAACAAAAGCGGATTTGCATGGTTTTACTATTTTGATTAATTTTGAACATAATATACATATAGTTTCTTAGTTTCCAAATCCTGCTCATTTTAAAACTAAAAATATTTAGATTGAAGACAAAACTAATAAAAAAAATCGCACTCATATTCTCAGTTTATCACTAAAGGAAACAAAATCATTCGTCAATATACGCGAATTAATTGTGTAAAATAATCTTGTAATATGTGCAAAAATATTCTCTCAAAATGATTAAAATTATTTACCGATGTATTAAGGAAGATTATAACGTTCAGCGTTTTATTCAGATCTACAATCGTCGACTTCGCGTCTCAATCAGCATCAGCAACAGCAGTCTCAGCAGCAACATCAGCAGACGTCAATCCCTCCTATAGATCCTAACGTGAGGAGATATAGAACCGCCTTTACAAGGGAGCAACTAACTCGGCTAGAAAGCGAATTTAGCAGAGAGAATTATGTCAGCCGACCGAGAAGATGCGAATTGGCTACACAGCTTAACTTGCCGGAATCTACGATAAAGGTAAAAAAACATTTTTATAATATAATAAAAAGAAGATACAAATATACTTTTCTAAAGAGACGTACTCTCTCTTAATAAGTTACACATTAACTCTCTATAACGCCATTTAGTTTTGAAGTCACGCATTTCTCTATTTATGTATACTTAAATTTTATTCTATTTTTTTTTACCATAATTGAGCGTACATGTATTTTACTATTGTTTAATTTTTCTTATCGTAATCCAAAAATCTATAATCTTAATTAATTTATTTTTGCTATGTTTGTTGTATATGTGTACAAGTATCGTAACTTCTAAATTATATAAATTATTTTTTCATAATAAAATACTTAAAAAATTGAAAGTTAACTGTCAGTTTCCTAAGATCAGATTTATTAGTTACACATTTGTAATCTTTTTTATAACACGAAAAAAAGCTTATAGATTATACAGAGGCAAAGATTTCAGTCTCAATAGTTTTTCTTCGTTTTATCGATATATTTCATGTTTATCTATCGGAAACGTTAAAATAATTGTGCATTATTCGTGCAAAATCGGTGACAGAATTATTTAACGTTTACACTTAGGACAGTTTTCAGTCTCTGTCAAAATAGAATAATAAAAAATATAACTTCGATCTCTTCCATTAGATAAACGCTAGATTGAACGTTGCAATTGATACTGTGAATTAATCGAGAATGAGCAAATGTTTACTCGCACCTTCGATAAACAGTGACTTCATTTGTGATCGGTGCAATAACATTTTCCATTAGCGCTTTCGTGTTTGATTGAGGATTTTCGCGGCGGATTATTAAGAAAATCCTTCAATCATTTAATGATTATTAATAAATATGCGAATAAAAGTCGAGCTTAAATTTTTCTTTTTTGTAGATATAGTTATACCTTTTCATTGCAATATCATTTTCTCCTTCTTAATTCCATCTTCTTTACTGAAATTATATTTAAGACATTTAAATAATATATTTGTATCTAAGTAAGTAATATAGTATTCCTCGTATCTCACACACACAATTTAATTTCTCACGGCCACCACGTTGTACCCGCGAAGACAAGGGCCCCTAAAGTCAAGCGGCTTAATAAAAGGCAATTAGTGACGTTTTTGTTCGCGCGAGCCGCCGAGAGCTGCCGATGGATATTTCTTGCCGTGGTCAGCTGCGGCCATATTTGATCGGCGATTATAGCCTCGAGAGAGCGATTCAACGGCCGCGATTCTCGGCCTTTGATCCTTCTCTCTCGCGTGTCCCGCGACAGTGCCGTAACGTTAGATCCCGCGGAAATCCTGACGGATCAGAACAAGGACTCCTCCCTTATCTCACATATGTGTATACGTATGTACATATTGTAGCCGCATTGTAGCCGCATATTAACGTTTCGGGGACCGACAGTTTAGTCACGGCCCTGATCGAGGGGTGACCGGTCGGGCGAAAGTGTTAAACGGCTCAATTAGCGACTGCCTCGCGGCCCACCTCGGACTTTAATGGATCTCTTAATTTCTCATCTCGCGGCAGCTCGCACTCGCCTCGGTTGGCGATCGTAAAACGGCGGCGAACAACGGAGAGGAGGGGAACGGCGAAGAGGTGTTAAATGACGGTAAACGTCCCGCACGAATTACCGGTATAATCGTTCGCCGCCTCCGAGAATTCCCTACATACGTGAATCTACGTATCTGAGCGTTTATCTTGTAGAAATGTAGGTATATGCACATAAGATCGCGCCAAGTCTCGTTCTGTTAAAACAATAGTAATTTTTATCCTGTAATAGCCGTTATTAAAGGGTAAGAAAAGAGCCGCGTTTCGATCGGTTTGCATATAAATGTCGAATAAAAAGGTAATAGACACGGGGAAGCGGAATCGATTATTTTTTACGAATTATCGAGAGAGATTCTTAATAATTATTTACATAGTTGAAAGATTTGTATGCCAAACGGATTCCACTCAAATTTTTGTGTTAGTTTAACAAGATGAAGAATATGTTAGATAGTAACACAAATATATTATGTTACAAAATTGAAGCAAAAAAGGTGATACTAAAAATTAAATTAGCACATATTTTATTCATTTATCTTATTGTTAGAAATGTTTTAAAACATGTTACTTTTATTAACTTTGTTATTTGTCAACTTACTCATTTTGACACTAAGAAATGTTGAATATCAATTTAACACAAATTTTCCAACTACACTGAAGAGAAAATGATGTTACATCAACAGCATTATTTTAATTAAAAATAATCTTGTCGCTTCAATAACATTTTTATTAATGAAAGAAATCAAATTTTATTGAAATATGAGCATAACGTAATTATTTCACTAATAAAGTTATATAAATTAACAAAATTATTTTTAATTAAAATAATACTATTGATACAACATAATTTTTTTTAGTGTACATATTATAATTGCAAAGAAATTTTATTTTGAAAAAGAATTAATCGTTTTGTTATAAAAACGTTTTTTCCAGGTGTGGTTTCAAAATCGACGCATGAAAGATAAGAGGCAGCGGTTATCCCTATCGTGGCCCTTCTCGTGGAATTCAGATCCTACTCTAGCGGCAGCGTTGCTCGCGGCTGCCTCGGCTGGCACATTTCCGCATATGGGTTACCCAGCTATTCCCACGTCGAATTTACCGGCGACGACTCACTTGGCTCCTTCAGCATCACCGTATCCGAACGCGGCCGCGGCCGCAGCTGCGTCTACTTATTATCGTTACACCGGGTATCACCCGAGCAACTCAGTCACCGCGCTTCATCGGCCACACGTTCGCCCTTTGAGCAGCCCTTATCCCGCACCCTCGCACCTATCGCTGCCCTCGCACCCGTCAATGCCGCCGCTGCATATCCTGTCGAGTATGCAGATGCCGAACATCGCTGCTTCCTTTCCCATGAGCAATCCGCCACCTCCTCCTCCTCCTCCTCCTCCTGTCACCATGCCATATCGGCCACCATTGATCGAAGAACTTAGCCCGGTAAATTCTTCCTCCTCCAGCGAGTACGATTACGGAGCAAGTCCTCCTAGTCAGTTGTCGCATCCATCGTCGCATCACTCGGTCCAGCAGCTGCCGCTGTCGCTGCCGCATTCGCATCCGGATCATTCGCATCATGCCCATCGCCTTACCGCACCCGTCATGCCAATAATATCACGAGATAGACTCAGCAGCGGCGAGCAGCCGATGAGACTAAACGGTATGAGTGTCCCGGTCATGACGGTACTGCCATTCGAGAACAACGTGAGCAACACCTCGTATCATCACGTGGCGATTCCTTCGACGTCGGATATATCAGCCTTGTCGTCGCTTTCGTTGAACAAGTCTGAGAAGGAGCTGGAGGAGGAAAAGAAGGAGAAAGAGAAGGAAAAGGAGGAGAAGGAGAAGAAGGAAAAGGAAAAGAAGGAAAAGGAGAAGGAGAAGAAGGAAAAGGAAGAGAAGGAGAAGGAGGAGCAAGAACAGCATCAGCACCAACATCGTCAGCAGCAGTCTTCACTTCAGCTACCTTATTCATTTCAATCATCTCAGTCACCTCAGTCATCGCAGCAACGACAGCAACGGCACTCATCCCAGCCCAAGTTGTTTCAGCCATACAAGAACGACAAGGATCATAACGGTACGATGTAAAATAAAACAATGATAAGATATAATGAATGTTTTCCATTTGATGACACAAGTGTCGTTCTATCTTTATCACTCTCTGAATGTCAAGAAGGATAGAACGATACTTGTGTCGACTTGTGTCATCAAATGGAAAACACCCAATACGATCTCTTCTCGCCGTACACGGCTGTGGCTGTGACTATAATCGCTATCGATTGGCGATGACTACAATCGTGTATATATGTAATTACCTGTACATACATTTGCATAACACGCATGTCGTATATAGGGTTTCAATCGGGGGAGGGAGTGAGTGCAAAATTTTATCTTTACACAAAACTTATCAATATATTTTATTAAAATCAGCCTTCGAGAATCTTCAGCTTTTTTTACGAGTAACGCCACGAATTGATATAAACGTTTGATTTTCCATAAAAATGATTTTCATAATTTAATTGTTTCTCTTTGCTAAAATTTAGAGGAGACAAGGTCCTCCGACTCCCCTTTGCCCATGATAACCCACGCGCTTTCCCCAATTATCACCTAATGTTACGTTGTATATTATACAGCCATTCTTTGTACATATATATTACGTACGTTTGTAATGTACATTTGTACACATGTAAGATAATTATTTTTTATTTGAATGTATTATATTTATAGCCTTCTAATGGTTTAATATTTCTTAATAATTGGGGATAATGGGAATATGGATGATTTGACGAGAGAACGCGTGTACTAGGTAATTAAAGTGGCGATCCATTTAGCAGGTTTTGTTTTAAGATTCACACTGTCGTAAGCTTCAAATGTCTTAGACTTGACTTACGTATTATCTCTACGATTCCGAAATTGCACATTTACACAATCGCAGCCTCACATCGCTTCCTGAAATATGTGATATGACGTAATATACACACACACACACATACATATATGTATATATATATCGATTATGTATACATGTGTATATTTATGAGAAAAGCATGTGCCAGATCAGAAATATTTTATTCATTAATATCATTTATTATATTCACAATTCATTTATTATTAAAAAAAATATAAAAAAGAACTTTAAAATGAAAAAAAAAAATATAGGAAAAGAAATATGGAAAAAGAACAAATAAATAATTATATAATGCAAATATATATTTTTTAAATTATCTTAAAATATTTATAATATGATAAACTACATCAGAAAAAATTTAATTGGATATTTCTTGCTTCGTTGAGCATATATATAAATGCATATATATAAATGCATTTTTATAACTCACACTTTTATATATTTGTACATATATAATATTTATTTGATTTTTTGCATGTATGTTTTTTATTATTAGCGTTATTAGTATTATTAATAAGTACGATGGGGGAGTTGTATATTTTTTATTTTTCACACATGTATGTGTGAATTTATTTTTTAATCATTTATTCTTTTATTATTTCATGATATCGAAATTGATAATATTGCTTCGGCGATCTCGGCAAGATATTAAAAAACAAACGAGCAAAAATATAATATTAATATTATCAAGTATTATATTTTTAGTACAACTATGTATTTGTACTTTTATTTTATACACGTATAATATTTTATTACATTTATTCATTTTTAAGCATTTATAAATATCGATGTTTTTGTCAATTTGTATTTCATCTTTTTTTTTTTATTTGTATTTCGTATTTTGTATTTGTCTTTTTTTGTATTTGTGTTTTTGTCTTTTTGTATTTCGTATTATCGATAAAGTGAAGAATCTTGATTTGCTAACAAAATGTCGAAAAACAAATAAGCAAGAATAGAGGAGGGCGAGGTTATTCATCGTCAACTTTCAACTTTAAAGTAATATGAAGATTTACGACGGCAAACAATATCTGTTTGCAATGACGTGCTTACAACTCTACATTATACAATCATGATTGCTCCTTGAGAACACAAGCACAACTTTTAAATATTCAGTACATTTTATTTAGAAACATAAACATTATTATAAGAAATGGACAAAAAAGGCCTCTTGGTATTATTTTTTAATATAATTTTATTTTGTATTTTTATTTTATATATATATATTATTGTATATCGAAGTAATCATACCAAGAGGCAATTTTTGTACAAAAATTACTGATCTGGCACTTAATATTGTCCTTCTGAAAGACGATGAAAGGGAGCTTCCTTTTCAATAGCGTGCGATTTTCAATTGTTTCACACTTCTATACTTTGCTACGAAATGTACATATAATGGCGTTATCATTAATATCGTATTACTGCGAAATATCTTTGAGGAAATGAATAATCTAAACTGTTTAGAGATGTGGCAAAATAAGACAGGAAACAATTTTATTAATTCCTTTGTTTAACTTTATTCACTTTTGTACGCAAATATAATAACATACATGCAGTAAGAAAACCGTTATTATGATCTCTTTCTCAGCGAAAAGTTTTTAATAAATCTTTGATGTAACAATTGTCATTATGTAGTTGAATAAAGATCAAAATACGGTAATAATTATGTGTGTCTCTTAATTCAACTTGATGCTTCCGTTCCGTATTCGCATGACTTCATTAATTAAAAATCCCGAAAATAACATCGGCAACTGTATTTTGATACTTCGCAACAATAGCTTGATACAACGAAAAGAAAGCTGATGGCGCAATGAAATACGACTCCATATAATTATATACGTAAATATAGCTTGTAGTTTTTAATCTCTATATCGATTTTAAAATAACAAATTCGCGTAAAGAGATATCTGATTTAATAAACAACTGCCATTCACAAATTATTGATATATAATTTGCAATTTTTACTCTCTCTATCCTTTCGAGCCATTTCGCTTCAAGAAATTTATTTGTAAATTTCGATAAACAACTTCACATTTTATTTTTATAAACTACAAGTTGTGACTTACTTAATTAATTTAATAAAATAAATTTATTAATTATACGTATATAAAGTGGCATTTATTCAACTGGCAAGTTGTCAGAATTTTTCGCTGAATGTACTTAACATAATATGATTATTATTTCGGCAATGGAATGTAAATATTAAATGTAATTCGAATTTTAACATCATTAAGCAAATACGTAAGACAAATATTTTATGTGTATAAACATATAACTACATGCGAGCACGTCTATTAGAGAAATTATTATTATACAGGGTATTTCAAAGTTTACTAAATTTATTTGTTAATGCTAAATATATTAATAGACTTGATATCAATATATCGGCATTTCTAATTCGTCTTGGCCCTCTCCTTACGACGTATATATATATATATATATATAATTAGATACATTGTGAGATAATTAAATTCTTCACTTTCTTTTCATGGCGTAGTTCGTAGTTTTAGCAAACTGTCTAATATCATACTACGTCACGACGAATTCGCCGCGTACGGGACAGTTGGCATAAAACGGGAGACTCTGGGACGCCATTTTGCTGACAATAAAATATCCCGGATGCCCAGGGGTTGCCTCTTATCTTTCCTATTATCGATAGCTGGCCGTGGACCAATATGGCTACGGCAGCGGTTGCCATGGCTACGTTTCGGTATCTCGCTTCGGGACGGAGGCCCCATCATCCGCGCTATTATCGCGCTTCGCCGTAAATAAGGAGGAGGCAGTCTCCCTCATCTCCGGAGGAAACGATTCCGCAGCTCCATCCATTCTCTCCTTCTCTCTCACGCGACTCTACTGCGAAGGGATCAGGCGAAACGATTCCGTCTCGCGTCCACGCGATATCGCACAGTTATTTCAAACTGAACGAATGCTGATTGCAGAAAATTGCGTTTTCGAGAACCGTACGTTTTTATTTTGGAGAAAATTTCGAACTATACGTTATACTCGATAGAAACGACGTACGTTAATTAAAACTGATCAGCATGAAAACGTAAATGTAAAATACGATATAAACGCGATATGCGCACAGAGAAAAAGATTCCTTTGGATTTAATAAATAATTTTATTGTATTCAAATAAAGACTGTTATTTGAAATGGTCCAAACAAATCGATGTTTGAATCGAATTTTACGGCACAAACATAATTGATACAGCACGTAGCACTGCTCGTTTAATTCTATTGTGACGTATAAGCCATTGTTTCCATATTTTCGGTCAAAAAAATGTAATGATTGTTTTAAGAAAACAATTATTTGCATGGAACAACCTCTATCAATATATTTTGCCATTTTCAAAATAAATAATTTCTTTCGCTGTTTGTATTCATTGTAACCAAATAATATATTATTTAAATGAAAGATATTACTTCAAATAATAATGTTATTTCTGTCAAGCAATAGAGATTTCCCGAATGAAACAACAAAATTTTCATTCAAACAAATAACATTTCGTACAAGCATCTGTTGTTTCAATGAAACAAATTTTAGCCAAATAAATAGGAATACTAAACACTGGAAAAAAAAGTCACATAACGTGACATAACGTCATAAAGGGATGCATCACGCGGGCACGATTCTTTTGTAGTCGGCGCGAAAGGAAGTTAGTACGGTTAGCGAATGCGGAATTAATAAATGAACGTTCTCATGGGCGAATGGCAAATAGACGATCAATGGCAAAAGTCCGTAAATGGAAGGACCGAGAAGCGATGATATCGCTGACGAGAGTCGCCGTATTGGCTGCCACCCAACGCAGGCAATTTCGGTCGGTCGAGGAACGATAAGCTCGTCGACCATCGCAACCCCTGCCGTTTCTTTTTCCCTTTTCCTCCTTCCGTCTGTTATACAACCGTGAATACGTACATACGCTCGAAGAACGGCCCCCAGGTCCCTTCGAACCATCCCGGGTGACCGGTGGAGATTCATTCGAGAATCGAGATACAAAGGAGATAAGGAGACGTAGCGTCGTAACGCTCGCACGTGGCTCGCACATCGAATCGATGCAACTTGCGATCGGGAGTACCGGATCGGACTTCTCCCCGCGTCCTTGACACAAATATTTTGACATGCTCGAGAGATAATAATATAGGATGTCTCTTTGACGAGATAAATCGATAGGGGAATAATCC